GCTCTGAGAGAGCAAGAATGACATACCTTCCCTGGAAGATAATGGGCAGTTTCACAAAATTTTGTTTAATGAATAACGATGGAAAAGATGACTAATCTTTAATGTCATTTCATGCTACCAAAGTTGACGACAGATATCTATAAAAGACAAGCTCTGACATTCTTCTTGCCAAATAACACCACTGCTCTAAAATTACTATTGAGAAATGCTAATTTTGAAGAGCCTTTTTATACTACCCTGAGAACTGAGAGGGGTTTTTTAGATTTTTATTTATTTATTTGAGAGGAAGAGAGAGAGAGAAAGAGAGAGAGAGAGCATGGGGGGGGCAGAGGGAAAGAGAGTAGCAGACTCCCCATTGTTCAGGGATCGCAGGGCTTGATCCCAGGACCCTGGATCCATGCAACCATGCTAACGAATTCTGCTCAAGTTTAACAGATGTGATAGGGGTTTTTCCCCTTCTCCTGTGAAACAGGTGGGAGAATACAGCAGCTCCTCTCAAAGGCAGCTGAAGAAGTGCACACTGGGCTACGGTGCTGCCCCTGTGAGAGCCAGGGGGGTTGGTTCTAAAGCCTGGAGGGCCACAGAGCATCATCCCTGCAAGTCCGGCCTGTCATGCTGCCTCACTGCCAAATCCGAGACAAGGAATCGGAGCATGGACACGTGAGGCATGAGTGGGCACAGGCGTCACAGAGTTCCTGTGAAGACACAGCTCGTTCAAGATACAGCCACCTTTTTAAAAGAAAGGGAAAGAAAATATAGAGCTTTTCTTCATATAAATGCCTTTTAGTAACTGGATTTTAGATGACAATTAATTATTCTTCCGTATGGCTGCTGGAAAATGTAGAGACCCTACAAGTCTAGGATGCAACAGGACCCTCACAATCAGATTCTTTGACTAGTATAGCTACAGAACTTGGTCTGTGCCCCCGCACCCTCCAGCTGCCCTGTGCATGCCAGCCAGCACGGTACCTGGCAAAGAAAAATGAGGCCAGCACACGTTCCCTGTGCCCAATTCGGAATTCCTCCCACAGACCAAGTGGTGCTCTGGAGTTGGCTACAAACAGAAGGAATTTGGCCTTAGAAAAGCTTGCAGAATTTGGGAGTTTTAACAGCTGGTAAGCAAGAATGTTTTGATACATTTTGAAAAATGGTCCTAGAAATTCTAGAATGAGCAGGACCTGTCTCTGACCCCAAACAACATATTGGCAGACAGATGCATGAAATGCAATTTCTAGTTTCTTCTTCTTTTCTTTTCTTTTTTTAAAGAAATATTATTCTCAATAAACAACTTGAACCTTTTGCCAGCCAAGCATTCTCTGTCTTTGTCCTCGCCAGGCAACGTGCTCGTAGTCATTTCTATTCAGCAGCTATATATCACCCGAGCACTCTGCCATCCTCTGAGGCAGGGAAGCATGACAAAAGTAGCACTGGGAGCAGGATTCAGGGTCTTGGCTTGCAGCCGCAAGGCCTCTCATACCCCCTGTAACGTGGATAGATGGCTGTGAGTCAGAAGGTGGCCCCTGTTGCTACTCAGCACTCCTCCCATTGCTTATTCACCAGGTCCCCAAGTGTCCTGCCATTCTGCGTGGCTTTGGAGTGATTTCCAACATGGCAGTGAGAGGCCTTTCTGCAACCTAGCCAGGAGACCCACTCCTCCACTCCCAGAGCACAGAAAGCCTCAGGGTGCCAGAAATCTGTTCTCCCCGGGGCCGTGGCAACCCTGGTCCTATCCTGTGTCCCAACTCACCTGTGTAACATTACTGAACCCAGTGACCATGCAGGTGGTAACACTATCGGTTCCCATTAATCCAGTGTTCACTTTGCGGGCATTACTAACATGAAATGCCTCACGGTGCTCATGTCAGTACCCTGTGCAATCAAGGTGCTGTCAACAGAGCAGACAGAACTGCAATATGATTTCCATGGGGCCACCCCAGAGCTCCATGACCTTGGCAAAGTCCGTCAGCACCTTTGGGATGTGCTCTCATCTGATAAATGGGGATACTTTTGTTCACTCCTCCCTCTCCCCAAAGATACTGCAAGTTTATGGTGAAATAGAGATAAGGGGATGTGAAAGCTCATCAGCAACTGGAACGCACTCTCCATACATACAAGGCTTATTAGATAGCTCCAGTCCAAGGTCACATAGCTGGTTTGTGGCTGGCCTGCAGTGAAGGCCCAGGTGTCACAACTCCCTGCCCAAAGAGACAGAGCCCGCTATTCCCCCCAGTTCAGCAGAACACACAGACCACCAGCTGGCATGGTAGGCCGCTCCACAAGGGAACTCTGCGTGGCTGACTCTCATCTCCTGAGACCAACTCCTCACCCCACGTATCACTGCTGCCCCTGCATCTACATTCTCACCACACATGCTCTTGCACACATTCTAACTCACATACACTTAATGTATATCCTCTCTCTTCTAGATTATCAGAACTCACTGAACTGGTCCTTCTGAAGGCAGGGATGTATCAGCACCCTCAGGAAATTCTGGAACCCTCAAGCTACCACTATTCTTCAAGATGAAGATTTCTGGAGGTGGGCAGAAATTAATGAAATAAAAAGATACACTCGGGGTAGCAATGTTTCTCTAGCAATTTTTTTAAATTTGTGCAAATGGTGTAAGATCCATTAACTGACTGTTTAAAAAGTGGTTCTTCTTTGATTAGACTAGATGGCACTGTGGTATCACCCTTTTAAGTCCAAGTAAAATCTCATTTCGTGTCAGATAATGTTGCTTCAATTTGGGACAATCTAAGAGGATGAACCTCCACTTGAGGGGTCTTGATTATTTTATGGAACATTTCTGAAGCGGTCTGCCAGAGAATAGTGGCCACCAAATACATAATCTGGGCCACATTTATAAGGTGTGTTTAGAGACCGTGTCACACCCTGACCTACATGTCCAGAAGGATTTGAAAAGGCACATGTGCCCTGTGGGGCTCTAGACATGGCCATGACTTCCACAGTGGCCAACATCTCATTTTTACTTCACCAGCACAGTCATGGCTGTGGGATTCTATTTTTGCTCTAAAGAGCTTTTTTTAAAAAGAAAAATATAACCATCCCTCACTACACCTACAAGCTCCATCAGCAAGTGAGATTGTTTTCAATATTGCTGAATTGTTTGGGATCTTCCTAAACACCAGTATCTTATGATGACAATGACTTCTACAATTCTTACAATGGACTGAGGTGGCAACCTTCCTGGAGTGAAGGTTCTCTTCAGATGGAAAAAAGAAATCTGTTAGGGCTGTAAAGGCAGTGAAAGTTCAACAGATTCTGCCAGAATCCCAGTATTCAGGAAAAAATACTGCGAAGCCAGGAGAAAGGAGAGTGAGCAGGGATGTCTCTTCAAATTTCAGTGGTGACCAGGGAGAGTCAGAGGGCTCCATTTGCCTGGTCTAGAAAGAAGAAACTGCACTGGGTCTCACATTCCAGGAGCCTCTGCAAAGCACCTCCTCCTTCAAGGCACAGAGTACCCTGCCTGGGGGTGGGGGTGGGAATTGGGAGCCCATCCAGGTAAGTAGCTGCTGTAAACAGCAAACTCCAGGGCCCCTGTGGTCACCTGATGGGGAGGCAGGGAGCACATCCCTGTCCTTGCCTGCCCAAAGACCCTGGCCAGAGGGGCCCCGCGGGGCAATTGGACTTATTCAGGCCATTGCCTGAACTCCCTGCCCCGGTCCAGATTTGTTTTACTTTTTTAAGATTTTATTTATTTATTCATGAGAGACACAGAGAGAGGCAGAGACATAGGCAGAGGGAGCAGCAGGCTCCCCATGGGGACCCCAATGAGGGACTCAATCCCAGGACCCCGAAATCACGCCCTGAGCCAAAGGCAGACATTCAACCACTGAGACACACAGGTGTCCCCCAGATTTGTTTTAGGGACAGTGGCATAAAGGAAGCCCAACACGCCCTTCTCCCCCTCCCCCTTTTACGGCACTCCGTGACCTCCAGCAACGGGGCATTGCAGCTGGATGAAGGAAATGCCCTAGCTTTGAAACCAACCGGCTACAGGCTCTTCATAAATCACTATTTCCCGCATTGGCCCCGGGTTCCCGGCGCGTGGGCTGCCAGCCCCGCATGCTGGAGCTCAGCTTTTGTACATCTGGAGAGGTTTTTCAAGACCGAACCCTACATGGGGTCAGGGCAGCGTCCCAGCTCGCCCTTTGGCACGCAGGGTGTCCCTCGCACTCGCAAAGCGCGGCAGATACCTGGAGTGCAGCCAGTAGTGGAGGGCGCAAGCTGGGTACCACAAGGTCTCTCCAGGTGTCCCCAAACAGGGGCAGAGGGGTCTTGCCGCTCGCCCAGGGAGAGCAGAGCCAGAGGAGAGAAAGGAGGGCAGTGGCAAAAGTGAAGCAAAAAAGAGAAAAATCAGAAAGGGCAAAAGAGAAAGAATGAGGGGCAAAGTGAGAGAAAGAAGAAGGCAAGAGGGAGCGGCCAGGAGCCCACAAGATCAGGAGCAAGAGAAAAAGAGGAAGGCAAATAGAGGAAGTGAGAAAAGGAGGAGGGAGAATGCGGGAGCGGGAAAGGGAAGAGAGGGCAGAAAGAAGGCTTCGGAAGCGGGGTGCAGAGAAAAGAAGAGAGAAGACAAGAGGGACTCAGGGTTCTTTCCGGCGCTGCAGTGCGGAGTCCCCGTGCGGTACCCTGTTCCAGCAGCGGCCGGGGGGCGCTCGTTCCGGACCTCCGGGCCGCTCCCCACCGCACGCACTCCCAAGCCGCGGCCACTCACCGGCACTCACAGGCCAACCCGCCGACGGACAGCCGAGCCGTCCCGGGCCGCAGCGGACAGGCTTCCCGCGGCCGCCAGGGCGCGGTGAGCGCGCGCGCCAAGGAGTCTGGCTCCCGCTTAGTCCTGGCGCGCCCGCCTGGCCGGGAGGTGCGCACGGGGGCGCCGGCAGCGGCCAGCCGCGACCCCCGCCCCCGCCCTCCGCCCGCCCGGGCCCAGGTCGGCTCCCGCGCTCCAGGGCCTCGCTCGGCCGCGGGCGTGCACTCACCTGGACGGTCTCAGCCTGGCGTCGCGCTTGCCGTCCACCACGGCGGGCACGCAGCTGGTGAGCTCGGTCCAGTCGGCGTGCAGCCCGCAGCTCCAGCCCGTGGAGAACCTGGAGAAGAGCCAGGTCTCCCGCTTACCCGGCCGGTGGCAAGTGCATTTCTTCTGACCCACGCGGCACTCGCACGGTTGCTCCAGCTGGATGTTGCGCACCAGGTGGCGGCCGAAAGTGGTGCCTCCGGTCTTCTGAATGTGCAGGAACACGATCAGGTCATCGCCCTTGATGTCGAAGTCTACCTTGCGCAGGAGGTCGCCGCGGCTGAAATTGTAACGGGGCACGAACCTGGCGGAGCTTTCATCCTCCGAGCGGTATGGGTCCGGCATCGGGGAGCTGAACGCCTGCAGGCGGAGGAGCTGGCATTCTGTGCCGGGGCACACGTACTGGAGGACGATCACCGCAAATAGGAAGAGCATCACCAAAGCCAGCAGCAGCTTGTTGGATTTCTCATCCATGTTCCCGACGCTGGGGGAAACCCAAGCTCGTTACGTCAATCCCGCAGCTCAGCCCGCGCTCGCCGTGCGCCCGCACCGCCCCCCCTCCCCCCGGCGCCGCCGTTGCGCCCCTTTCCTCCCTCCCCTCCACACCGAGTACTCCGCGGCGGCGGCGGCGCCCTTCCCCGCTTCCTTCCTTCCCGGCAGGCTCAGCGCTGTGGCTCCTGCCGCACACCCCCCTCCCCCCGACTTTTTCCCGCTGGCCGCCTGCCCTCTCCACCCGCTGGAGCTCTCCAGAGCTGCGTCGCGGGGTTTCGTACCCACCGGACGCCGCCCGGCCCGGTCTCCCCACTCCCCAACTAACACTCCGGGTCCGAGCCCCCGCACGTCTCGCTCCACTCTCGGTGGTTCCCATCCTCATCCTGCTTCGCCCACCGGACACCCCCCCCCGGCGCTCGTGCCCCCAATCCCCTGGGCGCGCGTGCCGCCGCCTCCCCGCCTGCCCGACTCGCGGGGTCCCTCCCCTTGCGCCCCGAAGCCCTGCTCTTGCCTGCGCCCAGTTGCCCACCTTGGAGGCCGCCTCGAGGGAGCTCCGAGCCGGGCGTTTGGAGTTCCCCCGGGGGGACGAGTCCGCCGGCAGCCGGACTAGAGAGCGGAGACGCTGCGCTGCCGGTGCCCGCGGAACCGGGGGAAGGGAGCCGCAGCGTGGCCAAACGCGCGCCGCGCCCCTCCGGAGCCCCCGAGCCCAGCCGCCACCGGCCAGCTGGAACTTTGCGCCTTTTCCTCCCCCTCGCGGCTGCCTTCCCTCCCGCACCGCTCCTGCGCGCCCCAGCCCGGGAGCGCGAGTCCCTCTTTCGCCTAAAACGTACCTGGCTAGGGGGCCGAAAATCTTGGAGAAGATCGCACCGAGCACGTGCTTCAGCGAATGGCCCAGGGCGGCCAGGCCCCGAGTGAGCAGGGCCCGGCAGAGGGAGCCCAGGTCCCAGCGTCTCCTGAGGTCGTGCATCCGCCTGCGGCGGCCTCGGGACAGCAGCGCAAAGAGAGGGGTGCGCGCGGCTCCCGCCGGGGAGGAAGACGCCTTTAGGGGCTCGTCCAGGAGCGGCTGGGAGTTGAAGCCGCGAGACACACCCCTAGGAGGGCCCGTGCGGACTGAGGCGGCGACTGATCCAGGCCGGCTCCCTGCCAATTCGGCCTCTACTCTGGAATGCCGGCGGGGACAGGTGGTGCGGGCGGGCGCTCCTCTCTCCGGTTGCAGCGGCGGCCGGAGCGCTCGGGCTGCACACGCAGGCAGTGCCATTCCCCCCTTCAGGCAACTCAGGGTACTAAGGATAGGCAGCGAGCTTGAATTTATGTAATAATGCCTCACGCCTAAGAGCTCGAGCCACTTCACAAGCAGAAGACCTGGGGTTTCTCCTGTCTTGGGGAACGGAGGTCACTCCAATGAGCACATCACTCCACTTTGGCTGGTAATTTCAACCTCCCCTAAAATAGCAAAGGCGCAAATTGGACCTTTTCCTTCTCTCTTTGCTAATTTCCATTCTCCAGCGGAAGCGGGGGCATTTTCTGAAAAGGTAAGTCAGCATGAAGGAAAATCATGAGAAAAATAACAACAAAAAAAATACAAAAAACAAAAACGTTACAGAATGGGAAACTGAGCTTTTCCATAGCAGAGACTTACCCTTACTCCTCTTTCCTTGCTGAATCCCCAGCATCTAGCCCCGTGCCTACAGCAAGGCTTCACTCCTCTACGGTTTACTGAAGGAAAGATACATGACTGCACACTACATCAGAGTAGAGCCATCTAATCCAAGATGATGTGGTAAATGAGGAAACCGAGGCCCAGACAGGAAAACACATTTGCCCAGGATCACACAGCAGAGCTCTGGATTTTGGACCCAGAAAACCAGGCACCATTTCCTGGACAGTGACACCACCTACTTTGATAAATAGGCAGACCACCCCTGAGTCCTGGTGTTAAAAGGCTCTTTGTGGCTGCAGGGACCACAGATGTAAGAATGAGCAAGGGGAGAGGGGCTGTCCCTTCAGGACAATGTCCCTGGGAACTCAGGACTCAGACTGTTCTAATTGATCAGGTGGGGCTTGCTGTCTATCAGGAACTGACATCTCTGTGATCAAATGCCCACTCCATCCAGCCCCACTGCTACAGAAGGGGCACAGGTGGCAGCAGCATCTCGAAGCAGCACTGTCAGGGCCAAGGGAGAGGGGACAGTGAGACGAGTGTGGAAGTGAGGGCATATTCCTCAGGGACAGGCTCCCTCAGAACATTTGATCCCTCTGTGCAGTGAAGCAACAAGCACTGATCTGAGAATCTATCACTTCCTTGCTGGGCAGCCCTGAGACAATCACTAGCCCCTCCTGAGCCTCAGTGTCCTCTTCTGTAAAATAGGACCAATTCCTCCTTCACCATCTGGGTCATTGTGAGGATGACCCTTGAGCAATTTTACTTGCTGTATTTACCTGCTGCTCTAAGCTCCGAGGTCCCCACTGAGTCAGTCATAGGCCAGTTAAGGAAGGAGTCCTTCTCAGGCAGCCTCCCAGCTGTGCTCTCTGCCCTTACCTTCCCCCACATTTCTCCAGCCCTGGCTGGACTTCCGCATGCCCCCAAACCTACCGGGGACAGCAGAGGACTGTATGTCTGGCTCCAGGCAGGGAGGACTTGGAGGAATCCTGCCATTCAGGCATTCCACCTGTCTCAGGGTTCCAGGGGTACACTCTGACAAATGAACTTGTGTAAGGAGCAGCAGCAACTTCTAAGGTAGACATCTCAGCTTCCCCCAGACCTCCCCTGTTCACCAGGTTTGTGGGACATGCCTGCTCCCCCTGAGAATAGGTGACGATGTGAACCAGGGGACCGGGAAACTGTGAAGGTGGCCGGGGAGCTCAGCTTGCCAGCTATCTGCTGCCTTCTCCTTGGGTACCCACAGCAGTCAGCCACTTCAGGCCAGTAGGTGGCTCTCCTCATGGTGCCATATGAAGAACCCTCTGGCCTCGAACTTTTATAATGGCTTTCTGTGGGTCCCTAGAAAAGCAATTTGGGAATGGGTGGATCACGCGTTCAGGTCCCCCAGCAACTAGTTGGAGTTTCTGGAATTGGACCCAGGGAAAGTGTTTTGGGTAAAGATGCCAGGAGGAAAGGTATCCAGTAGAGGGGAAAGTTGGGATTTATTCATGCACATGCGTGAGAACACATGCACACATGCATTGGTGCACGCACACATGTGCACACACAGGTAACAGTCTGACTCCCTGAGGAAAGAGGCAGTCAGATTGGTAGTTGCAGAGCCAAAGGAGGGATGGTGCCGAGAAGCCTAGTTTCCAAAGATCTAGTATGATTCCACACAATAGCTCACTGGAGGATATTTGCATTTACAAGCCTTTCTTCCATCCACCTCACGCTGTAAGAAAAAGAAATTAATCTCTCTTCCAATATCGGGGATCCTGAAGTGGAAAGAAGTGTCTTTGAAGGGAGCAGGGGGGGTCCCACAAGTCTCAGAGAACCCCCCCTTGGGGGCAAAGAGGCTCCCTGCTAAGAAGAGAAAAATCTTCGTGTGTGTGTGTGTGTGTGTGTGTGTGTGTGTGTGTGTGTGTGTGTGCGTGTGTCCCCAGAGCTGTGTTCTGCTGAGGCCAGGCCTGGGCCTTGGCAGGAAGTTCCAAGGCCTCTTGCAGTCCTGGGCTAGGCCCACCTCCCAGAAGCCCGGTCCTCTCAGGAACTGAATAACAAAGATCCTAATACATTAGAAACAGCCCTATTTGGGAACTTGGGCAGGGGTGGGGGGGCGTGGGGGGGTGGCAAAAAGAGGGAGAGAACTGGCTGCCTTACCAGGTCTTTGGTTTTGCCTCTCTGTATTTCTTAGACCAGCCTGACATTCTACATGTATGCATGTATTTGGGATTCAGTACTTGACAGGTAAGGAGGACTCTGCAGGCTGAGCCAGGTCCCGGTTGTCCCCACAGTGTGCTTTGTTTTTAATTGTTTTTCCAGAACTGTCCTTCCACGGTTTTCACAAAAGGTTGAGGATTCTGGGAGCATAAAGGTCAGCCTTAGTGCATACTAAGCAGTGCACTTCCAGACATCTGTTGGGTTGCTGGAGTCTGAGAGTGTAATAGGGAGAGTTGGCAGAATGTGGGCCCTGGAGTTCAGAGACCTGGGTTCCAGTCTCGGCTCTGCCACTCATGAGCAAGGAAGCCACTTGCTCGTTCTTGGACTCAGCTAGCTCCCCATTTGTAAGAAGACAGAGTTGATGTTGCGATTCAAAGGGCACTTTTCTGCTCCTAACTTCTAAGTCACATGATTTCTGGTCTTCCTCAAGGGCCAAAGTGCTGCCAAACCCTCAGTGCCCGTTGCAGTGGGGCGGAGTGGGGGGGAGCCAGTGGCCTGGTCCTGGATTTCTTCTATTTGTTTGTGAGGTCCCACGGGGCAGCCAGCAGCTGGACTTGTTCTGGGGCCTATGTCACAAGGGGCGAAAGCAGGGTCCCCTGCTCAAATTAGAACAAAAACAGTGAAAATTTCATGTTGAAGAAAGTGCTGGGACTCTTCAAAGAGAGCATAATACACTAAGGAAATGTGCTTTTTCCCTTATCCTGAGCATTCTCTTCTGCCCTATCTTTCCAGCTGTCTCCCTTTTTTTTTTCTCAAAAACATTCATATTCTCAATAATAGGCGATTCTTGTCACAAAGACTGAAGGCATGCAAACTATCAAGGCAGTTTGTTTCTGTTTTTATGCATCTCGCCAAACTGAGTGAACGGCAGTACTTAATGAACGAGCCCTTCAGAAATTTAAGCTCTAATATTATAAACAGATTGGGTATGTTGGATACATCACTGTCAACAGCCAACCTCTCCCCCCACCCACCCACAAAACACTGATTTTTCTTTGTTTAGCCTTACAGAAAATGGGGCTCAAGGAATGAAGAGAGGAGGATAATGCTGGGGTGCTGTGTACACATTTGGGGTGCTACATGAATGTGTACTGCAGAGGCAAAATGAGCACTGGATGGAGGTCATCACAGACGCCGCCGAGCATGCAAACCAATGATCACCTGTTCCCTGAGGAGGGGGGGCCCCCATTATTTTTCTTAAGGTGGAATTCCCACTTGTCACTAAGTGGAAGAGTCCACTCACGCAGGCTGGGCCTTGGAAACTAGGGAAGCCAAGGCTTGGCAACCACAGGCTGCAGGCTCCACTCAGCTCCCTTGATGGCCATTTTACTTCTTTGCACCTCATTTGGCGTTCTTATTAGACAGCTTGACTAGGTACCTTCAGAAAGCTGGTTTAGGGATGCCTGGCTGGCTCAGTGGTTGAGCGTCTGCCTTCATCTCAGGGCATGATCCCAGAGTCCTGGGATTGAGTCCCGTATCAGACTCCCCGCAAGGAGCCTGCTTCTTCCTCTGCCTATGTCTCTGCCTCTCTTTCTGTGTGTCTCTCAGGAATAAATAAATAAAACCTTTAAAAAAAAAGCTGGTTTAAGGGTATAGGAAAGAGGAATGCAATCTTAAGCGAGCTTTCTATTAAAAAGGACAAAGCAGAGGTTTGGAGAGGATGTTGCCCTGGAATTGAATCAGGGCCTCAGTTTTGTCATCCAGGAAAATGGGACTAAATACAGCCCCCTTACTGGGTTGTCATTCATTGAGAGCACTTAGTCTAGTGTCTAGAAGAGTAGATCTTCCATAAATGTTCATTTCCCTTGCTTTTTAACTCTGAGTATCTTTGGCTTGAGCTCTTTGTAATATTTTCCACAATAATAACATACACAGATTTAGTTTTGTATTTTTTTACATTCTCTTAAAGATTTAATTTATTTATTTGAGTGGAGGCAGAGGAGCAGAGGGAGAGAGAAAAGCATGCTCTCCAGTGAGCAGGGGGCCTGATGATGCAAGGCTTGATCCCAGGATCCCAGGATCATGACCCAAGCCAAAGGCAGACACTTAACCAACTGAGCCACCCAGGTGCCCCAACCTGCACAAATTTAATGACGGGCCTTGGGTGGAGGGTGATAGGTCTAATTGTGACCCAGACTGGCTTTGCCACCCCATCTCATTTCTTTTTTTTTTAATTTTTATTTATTTATGATAGTCACAGAGAGAGAGAGAGAGGCAGAGACACAGGCAGAGGGAGAAGCAGGCTCCATGCACCGGAAGCCCGATGTGGGATTCGATCCCGGGTCTCCAGGATCACGCCCTGGGCCAAAGGCAGGCGCCAAACCGCTGCACCACCCAGGGATCCCTCATTTCTTTATATGCTCCTTTTTCTTACCCTACCTCTCTCTACCTCTTCA